GGCCGGCATTATTCTCGAAAGCTTCTGAACGCGTTCAACTATTGGAACAACTTCGGGCTTGTTTAACCTGTATTCGATCCGAGTTTTCGTTGCGCTCGAGCCGGGCGCCCGGCGAGGGGTGAAGATCGGCGCTGGAGATTTATTTCCTATTAACCGTACGAAATTATTTCGCGCGTCGGCGAACAATGCGGTAATCCGACAACGGATCGCAGTCGAATCGCTGGCCGGCCGGAATTCCGACGTTTCTTCCACGCGTCGTCCTTCTGTCACGCGCAACCGACCCCATTTTCTACTATTTTGCCTCCGTTGCCACTCTAAATGGCGCGTATCACGATCCGCCGGCGCGCCGGCTGCCTGGACGCGTGCGCGCCATTTTATGTACACGGTGTAACGAAAGTTGTGGCACCTGCTGAACGGTTCGTTCGACGCGATTCCTCGTGCGAGAATAAGTCGGAAATGGATATTTGCGATGGAAGGCTTCGTTTTCGAGAAAATTCGCATCGATTGAAACCGGCCTTTCGATCAAAATTCTCTTACTTCGCATTTTTATGGAATATTTACAAAACGTGAATTGTTTTATTACAACGGCATACAAATTCGCTATGAGGTCTGTCGTCCTCTCATAACATAATCTATACTTCCGTACAAGCGCGCTGATTCGTTCGTTGCCGGTCTCGCGAAACGGTATAAAAAGCAGGGGAGAAATAGGGGAAAATTTTTTAAACAGCAAATATACTATTTGCAAACGATGTTATCATTGGTCTCCTGTCACTTTATGTTATTAACCAGTTGGCTGTTGAGACATTTTTTAGAAGCGCGAAGTATGTTGCAAAGGAGAGAACAGTTTTTTAAACAGTTTTTTTCGTAACAATTATTTACATCTTTTTAATCGTCCGTTTCATTGCGTCCTGGCGAAAATACATTTACGAATGTATCTTAGTTTCCACGAAAATTACAATTTGAACAGCAAATTTCTACTACTTTCTACGCATGACGAGTATACTCGTTATGACACAAGATATTGCAATTCCTTCTGGACGAGCATACTCGTTAAAAACAGCTAACTAGTTAATAGCTGTCGCATTCATCATGTTGTTCATTATGTTGTTACGCTATTGCAATAGTGCGTTACGATAATTTTGAACACGCGAACGCGATTCTTGAGCTTCTGTCTGCATCGTGCGCACAGCGATTTCCTGATCACCGTGGTCCGGATCAACAAGTAATAGAAAAAACGAAACGAACGTTAGCAGACTATGGTTGTGTTGCACCGTGTCGCAGTCGTCGGCCGTTCAATAATGCTGCAAACTAGATTTCGTCCAAATAGGAACACAGTGCTCGAAGAAATCCGTTCAAACAATCTCCCTATCTTGTCCGTGCACGTGTACCCGATGGAACTTCAAAGTAGATTTTCTGGAAAACGACACCCGACTCGCTCGAAGGCTTCCCGCTCAACATTCCCGACTCGCTTTTGCACGCGGAATCGGCACACCCTGTATACGTTCGCCCCGTTCGAGCCATGAGATTTTAAACGATCGCCGGGAGTCGAAATAACATTCCGCAATTCCGTCGAGCGGCTTTTTACATCCGCGGCCAGTACACGCTCGTAATTCTCGCGCAACGATCAACGTTCAATATTTCTCGTTCCGCCGCGTTGTATTTGCGGTTCTTGTTTAAAAAAAAAAACCCTGGATTCTAGCGTTTCTTTGCCGCGCGCCTGCTCGCGGAACACCGACGGTCGGACGGAATTGCCGTCGGTATATCTTTCCGGTTTTTGGTTTTAATTTTTCCGCGAACTCGCGAGCCGGGAATGCGTCGGTTGAACGTGGCCGACGGTTTATTCGCGAGCCGACGGATCCGGGCTCGAATCGATGGCGGAAGCAGCGTAGCTCCTGTATTCGGAAGTTTCGTTCGCTGTCGCGAAAGTAGTTGCGCCACCGATTTCACTGTTTTGCCGCTTTGCTGTAGGAGCTTCGCGGAACGCGAATCGGGGCTCGTTCTTCAGAGGGCCGACTTCTATCGAATTGTGCTATTGAATTCCCCGCATCACCGTAGAGAAAAACATACGGCTGAACGAGTTTTTGGATGATAGAGTAGTCAGTGTTCCGACGAACATTCAACGAATTTCGTTTATATTGTTCGGGGAACCAATATTTTTGTTCGTAGCATGTACTTGTTTCTACCGGCATTCGGTTTGGTTACGGACAAGGTGTTCTTTTTTTTTGAAACCGTGCTTTTTTGGGGTCTTGAAAGAAGGTTTGATCTAGTTA